CGCCTCCGCAAGGGAAGAAATCAAGAGTGAAACCGAGGAGTGCATTTGTGCAACCTCGTGAGGAAAGGGTTGAAATAGGCCCGGCCCTTGTGGCTCCTCAACGGAGACGTAGGATCCGTGGATCCGAACTTCGGGAAACAAATCATGCGTCTCCTCTCTTGGCTTGCCCATTTGTGCATTCTCTCATATTGTGCTTGAGCTTGTTTTTACCCGATCTACTTGCATGCTTAATTGATTTAGTTGGTGACCTTATATCTTGTTTAGATACCTTATTTGTCACCTTTTGATTCGTATACATTTTGTTTATTTGAGCTACAAGTTCATAACTAGTGTTTTATTCCATTATCCGCCGAATTTTTCGGTTGAGACCGGAACTTCCAATCTGATATCGGAAGTTCCTATTTGAACCGAAAGTTCTCATCATTCTAATATGCTATGAAGTTGTGATAATTTTTAGGAACGCCTATTCACCCCCCCTCTAGGCGACGTTAAGGTCTTTTCACATACACTTATAATATAATTTTCAAATTATAAAATGCCCTATTCTCATTTTATAGGAGAAATATGGAAAATGATTTATTATCTATTTAATTACGAAAATAATATTAGTCCAAATTAACATATATGTAGAAAATAAAAAACAATATGAAAGAATTACGGAAATACGTACTAATGTAGTCATCATGTATAATGCAATGAGAAAAGAAGACCATAGTCGAATGCTTTATTATTGAGCAAAAATGATGGTATTATTTTTATCATCTTTTAGCGGAATCTATCTAACCATAATTAATAAGCCCGTGTTAGTAGAAGTCTATGTCGTCATGCATCAACATATCATGAGACTATTAGTTGTAGCTAAGTACACCGGCCCAACCATACTTAGCATATCACAAGACTATCGGGTAATGGACAATTATCTTTAATTGTGCTAGAGAAAAAAAAGTACTCCCTTCGTTCCATAAAAAACCAATCTAGGACTGGATATGACACTTCCTAGTAAAACGAATCTAGACATGCATATGTTCAGATTTGTTGTACTAGAATGTGCCACACCAGTTCTAGATTCGTTTTTTTTTGGGACAAATGGAGTGAATTACAATCCATACTATATATTCTTGAAAATTTTTAAAAGTTTTCATATAATATTATCCTTTAACCATTATTTTCATTTACACAATAGCTAACTTTACATTCAATTTGGACCACCATATTCTATCCATATCCAAATCCGGTGACTCAGTAATCACTCTGCATATTAACTCTCTCTCTCTCTCCATTTTCTTTTTCCCTCCGATAGTTGGATAACCGATAGATCTAGCAAGAAGGAGCCTGGATATATAGCGCCTTCCCTCTTCGTCAGGTCAGCTCCTGCCTCCTAAAGTCCCTGCAAGCCCGACATCCCTGACCTCAACGGCAACCATAACAATAGTGCGCATCATGATAGGGAAGGACAAAAAGACATGTTTGTTACTAGAGGGTAAGTATGCGCATGTAAAGGCAAATGGAAGGAACGATGGTGGCTCATGGAGAAAGAGCGGTGATAGCGGTGCGTAGAGTGGCAGTTAGCGGTTGCTGGTGGTATGAGGAATTTGTTGTCGACACAATCACTTAATTTTTCCCTAAATATTGATTATACGTGGGTTACCAGTTATATAAAGAAATAGCACTAGCTAGTTTTAAAATACTACCTATGTCCCAAAATAAGTGCAACCGTGAAAATTCGTGTCGAACTTTTGAACGCCCATCTTTGAAAAGTTAATGAAAAAGTTAAAATAAATTAGTCAAATGTAAAATATTATTCATGTTTTATCATCTAATAAAAACAAAAATACTAATCATAAAAAAATTTCAAATAAGACAAAAGGTTAAACGTTAGATATGAACCGTGTAAAACTGCATTTATTTTGGGAGGAAGGAGTAGTAAATAAAAATAGGGACTGTCTATGTACAATCCGGTTGAAAAAAAATTTGTATCTCAGCGGCTTTTTTTTGGTACTACCGTACAAAGGGTCTCTGTATCGATGACGCTAGATGGCGTCATGCACAAAAATATTGTCTCTGTTTTTTGTCCTTTTTTTTTGTTGGGCCACAGCCCACATCATCTTATTTGTGATAACCCAGAAACCCTTGTAGCCCACAACCCACTGGTTCGTGTGCTCATATCCCACAACCCACCACATGATTGAAAAAAGCCCAATACTAGAATAAATCAATTATATCAGTGATACAGCCCACGACAGCCCATGGCCCACGGCTTTTATAACTATTAAGTTTAGAAACTTACATACAATACAAATCATTCATACAGACTGTTTTGTATGCATGGCATACATACAAATCATTCACGCATAAGTATAATCATAGGCTATTTGTTTTCTGGGATAAAAACACTGCTACATATGCTACAGTATAATCATAGAGCACACACATTTACAAAATCCATCAGGACACACACATGCAAAGAAAAGGGTGTACAGATAGGCATATGTACATGGTACACACATTCATAAATCCATCAGGGTGCACACATCAGGGCACACAAAAATGTACAATGTAGTGATGCATTGCAGAGAGCCCCATCAAGCATCAGCTAGCAAAAAAAAACTCATAAAAATCGTCCAACATATTCAGAGTGATAAAAATGGGCTTCATCTCTGATTTAGACGCCCTGCCAGCCTGCCTGTTGCATGGCTGCTGCAATGCACTGCTATGCATGCTTACCAAAGCTACCAAATAGAAATCTAAAAACAATGTGTAACTTCTGCACAGAGATGCAGTAGTGAAAAATTTATCACAAAAACAAATAGTGGTGTTTCTGGAGGAGTCAACAGCCTGTGAACCCAAAAAAAAGTTAAGATGACAGAACTATAATTATTGAAACTGAAAATAAATGACCAATAGAACTTTACATACAGAGGTTTACATACAGATAAGCCTATAGGAGCATATAGTATAGGAGCTATACAATAAAAAAAATACAAAGCTATAGTATAGGAGCATCAGAAGTTCAGACCACAAAAATATGCATCTTACAAGGATTATTTGATATATGAATTAGATACCAAGGCTTTTTTCTGTCATAGCATTAGATAAACATGCACCTTATAAGTATTATTTGACATAAGACTGTTTTTGACAAAAGCATGGACGTTAGAATTGAGAGATTTTTATGGCAAGCAAACAACGGAATTTTGAACGATTTCCAGTGGTTAGGCTATGACCTAAATAAGCGATAAACTGATTAATATGTACCAAAATTATAAAAATCTAACAAAGACAAAAAAAAACAAAAATATATACAAAAACAAAAATACATCATTTCTGAAACTATACTGATTTCTTACAAAGTAAAATTTTTGGACAAAAACAAACACAAAATCAAAAATACAAAAAAACAAAACTGAGAGAGTAAACACAACGCTGACACAACATAACTTCTTCAGACAAAACTAACAAAACTAAGTGATATTCACTAAAATTATGAGGTGATGCAGTCTTATTACTGACAAAATACAAATGTTAGCAACAGACAAAACATATGACTCGTCAGTAGTATTTTGCTTCAGTGTTGTAATCTAAAGCTCTAAAACTTTTCAGCTTAAAATACAACTCCTATAAAGAGAGAAAGAATGGAAATTCATGCTATTAAGCAGTAAAGTGAACCAGTTTTAATAGTTTTGTTGTCCAAAGTAAAAATTTTGGACAAAAACAAACACAAAATCACAAATGGGACACAAAACCTTCTTCTTCATCATCTTCTTCTTCTTCTTTTTGCAAAATTTAAAAACTGGCAAAAAAAAAGGAACAAAAACAAAACAGAATGAAGATCCATGGCATGTAGCTCACCAAATCCATGTTTAGTAGAAGACAAAACTACATAATTCAAATAACTAGTTATTTAGCAATCCCTATGGACAAAACTAGGTGCTTTCATCGCTAACAAAACTGCTAACTGTACTTGTAAAAGTACTTGGAATTACTTCTAAACAGTGACCTTTAGGAAACTAATTATTTGAAATTTGTATGCTTCCGTGGATATAGTAAAGCTTTAGTGCAAATATTGCTAGTAAATAGATGCTTGCTGACAAAAAAAAGTTAACATATAACCTCATTAAACAAAAATGAATCTGTTAAGATTGCAGTTAACAGAATAGTGAATGGAGAAAGAACTAACATAATTCAAAAATTGTTTTATATACATGATTCTAACTACTTAGTGTAGGATCAGTCAAAAATAAAATGGTTGCATCCCACCTTAACCATGCAACCATTGTCCAGAACATGCATTTATCCCCCCAAGAGATAAAAAATTAGCAGAGCATAAACTCATTACCAACAGAGGTAATGGGAGGGATGGGGGAGCTTACATATGCATATCTCCTCATCTTTCCCAACAAGATTGATCTTGTGTGCTGCTAACACAGAGATAGAGAAAATCAACTTGCCTTTAATGCGGCACACGGGGATAATACCTACTGCAAAAACAACAGCCAACCAAGCTCTTTTTTTTTAGAGGAAAACTAATTGTTTCCATTAACCCATATTCTCGACAGAATCGTCGACAACCAAATCCTCAACACCAGGTGGAGTGTTATCCCAGCTGAGAACAGTATTTTCTGGGCTATTACAACCAATTGATGCTAAAGCATCGGCCACCTTATTACATTCACGGGGACAAAAGCTAACTCGAAAAGAGAGAAAAGCCAACCAAGCTCTTCAGGAAAAAGGAAAATAATCATCAGCATTGAAAAGGAGGAGCATGAAGGATGTGAGTCAGCACAAATTGCTCACAACACAAGAGCAGAGCAGTAAACAGATGTAAAGTATGGATTTTTCCATCCATGAACACATGCAATGCAAATTGTCCAAAAATTATGCATCTTTAAGAGCACAAATCCTACATAGGTCTGAATCAACTTGTCTTTAATGCTGGTAGAAACACCCAGCAAGCACAATTTAGGGCAGCCTCATGTACTTATTTTCCTATCAGTGAAAAATACACAAAATTAAAGTATCTTAGAATCCTAAAAAATAAGCTGTCTTACAAATATTGGAAGCGCTATATATTATAACAATCTAACACTATCAAGCATGGTGTCCTCCTGAGGCTAAGCAATAGAATTTTTGCATGAGAACTTGTGATTTAAATTACACAAATGAATACATCATTAAAAAAAGTACATAGAATACATATTACTACCAAACAGGGTCAAAGACTGAAGGCACCAGATCATCGGCTGTGTAGCTAGCTGAGCACATCACAAAATTATTGGTGATTTTTTTACCAGAACCTGAAACAATGCCGAATCAAACAGAGCAAAAATTGAACATGGCATTTCAGTATAAGTAGCGCAGTGTTCAATAACATAGTACTTCAATTAAGAATTGACACAACAGTTTAGCGTTAGTTATATTATATCAATGAAAACTACCACTCATTTTTTACCACAAATCTGATTGATCCTGGCCACGAAAAAGCCAGCAAAGAGACATTGAGCTGTTGATGTACATGCCATGCAAATGTTTCATAATGGGATTTGGGTATATGTTGACGCACTTATAGATCTGGACAAACAAACCAGCAAAATGTTTTACACATATCAAGCATTTCATTCCCCCCTAAAAATAGTTTCTAAAACATATGTGAAACAATAATCAGTTCTGAGATATGACATTATACTGACTCACTGTGTGGATCGGTGTGCCTCCCTTGCTTGGTGGTTCAGATGTCACTAGCTTCATTCCTGGAACAGACAGGCAAGGATCGGATTAGCCACCTCGCCACCCGCCGCGAGAACGGCCTCGCGCTGCATCAACATCCCCCGCGAAGGTCTCCGTTGAAACCTCGTCGGCGACCACCACAACCTCCGCGACCGCCCTTTGAACAACCGCTCCCCCTTCACATCCATTGCAGCGGACTCCGCTTCTACCGGAGGAGACACCGAGACCATGGGCTCCGTCGGTTGGAGGAGACGTGCGCCGACGGCGCCTCGACCACGCTTCAGAGTTTCGGATTACAAAATCCGTACATCAGTGTCAATCTCAGTTGGTAAATCTTTCTACTATTCTATGTAATTAAATTGGAAACACTAATTTACAAATCTTGAATGGCAGGCCAGGGAATGTGTAGTGCCTGTGTTCCAGCGCTGCCCCTGCACGGGTGTGGATCAGAAGCTGCACATCCGTCCACTGCTCGTTAGCGCTGGAAGAGCACAGGGTCTTGCCGCCGGTCCGAACCTCCAAGAACAAGAACAGAGGCGTCGGTCCGAACCTGCTGTTGCCGCTGACCTGTAGCGGCTGGCGGCGCATGGCTGGATGGAGTCGTGGAGGCGCACAGGGGGGGCGCGGCCGCGGCGGCGAGCGGCGACGGCGAGAGGCGCAGCTCGGCGGGCCGGTGACGGCGTCGAGCCGGCTGGGAGGGCACGAGGACGCGGCGGCGAGCGGCGACGGCGGGAGGCGCAGCTCGGCGGGCCAGCGACGGCGTCGAGCTGGCTGGGCGGGGACGCGTTCGCGGCCAGGCACGCAGGGAGCGGCGAGGCGGAGGGCGGCGGCCACACGAAGTGACGAGGGGGGATTTGTAAAAAATGAGGTTAGCATCGGATGAGTGCGGGCGGTTAAGTGTAAAAGTAATTCACCTTTGTTCCTAGCCATCGGATGAGCCTGTCGTGTTGATTAAGAGTTTCCAAGGTTGCCAACCATGGTTTGCACCAGATGCGGTGCCTTTCTATAGGGGGACAAAATGGGTTCACACCAGATGGCCTGCATAACCAGCACGAATCTTGAAGGATCTGATAGCCATAAATTCGGCTGATGAAAACGAAAAAAAACAGCCGGCACAATTCCCATGTAAAAGGGATATTGAGATAAGGGCGGAGTAATCGAGTATCGCGTAAAAGAAGAAATCTCCCGTCTCGTTCTCGTTCTCCTCCGCTCCTTGCGCCGCCGCCAAGACGAGCGGAGGGCCGGGCGGCGATCTCCATCTGGCAAGCAGAGCAGCGGAGGGGAGGAGGGGATCCTGGTGCGTCCTCTTTCTGATCCATCTCTCTCTCTCTCTCTCTCTCTCTCTCCCACCCCACCGGGACCTGGAATTTGCTTGCGTTCGTGAATTTGATAGCCTTAAACCTCTCTTATTTCAAGTAATAACAGTTTGTTTGTTTACCTAAAAGTTCGGGGGTTCAACCGAACCCCCATGCCCCAAGTTGGATCCGCCCCTGGTTTGAATTGCTGAAACATAATTTCGAGCTAGTTAAACGAAGAGACAACATGCCTGGAAATGTAAAAAAAAAGTATGCTGATTTGAATTTGATTGTTGGAACTGCCCTATAGGAAACTGGTAAATTTTAGAACAAAAAACCTTGCTTATAGTAAAATCGTGAATGGATGATATGCAAAGACATGGTGAGAAATATTCACTCGCTCATACTACAACTACTTAAGAGGACCATATTTGCTCACTCTGGAATAGCTGCTGACCTGCTGTGACCATCATACACCCCCTCACCGCAATGCAGGTTCCATTTGAAGTAATCGGAGAATGGTATGTTGAGAATTAGATTAAAGCTTCCATTTTAAAATTGTAATTGTTTGGGCTGTCAGCTATTTGCCATTATTCACAAGTGATAATTGTGACCCTACAACGAAGAGGCTAACAGTAGGTTTTAGAATTTCAGTAATGTTATATCTCAAAAGCCAACTATTACATTTGCAGGGAAGGATATTAGTGATTTTCTACTGCTGTTTCGTCAGAAGGACAAGAACTGAAGAATTCAGTTAGCAACAGTATGGTGTTGCCTTCATCAAATACCAGGGCCACTTCTTCCATGGCTTACCCTGTTTCCCTGAGCAGCCTCCACCACCACCCCAACAACCACCATGCTTTTTTTCTTCCCTCGAAAACAAACCATGATAATACTCATAAACCTATTGAATCCTCTAGAATTTCTAGACGGTCTCTCATCTTCCTCCCTGTCCTCCCTTCTCTTCTATACGCTTCATCATCCCCTGCCTTAGATGACGCAAACATTCCATCCACCTCTGCCATTGATACCACCATCACAGATCGGATCTTCATGGACTTCAGTGTCTGCCCTAGCTACTTTCGCTCTGACCGCACTTTAGGAGCTGAGCTTGCTACATGTCCTGATTCTGAACCTCTTGGTCGTGTAATTTTTGGTTTGTATGGTCGACTCCTCCCCCTCACTACTGCCAACTTCAAAGCTGCTTGCACTTCTGCTGCATACCGGGGAACACTTGTCCACAAGCTCCTTCAGGGCCAGTTCTTCGTTGCTGGCCGCCAAGGTCCTCGGCGTGACAGGGGCGAGGTCCAACCTCCCACCGGACTTGTGAGGAATGCTGAGACTATTGACCCTAAAGCATTTGAACTAAAGCATGCAAGGCCTGGCACCCTCTCATTGTGCCTTGGACAGAACGATGACGATGATGACATCAAGCTCAATCCTAATTATCACAATGTTGAATTCTTGGTTACCACTGGACCAGGGCCCTGCCCAGAGCTTGATGGACAGAACATTGTCTTTGGAACTGTATTGGAAGGTTAGTTGCTTTCATTTTCTGAACTTTTACTAAATGGTTCTTGCACACTTTGTGTTAAATTCTGTCTTGCAAGAATTTCAATGTCTTTCCCTCGAACAAGTTGGGATTTGACCTGTGCGTAATCTACTAATGCAAGGTTGGCATGATTAAATTCATGCATAAATCTATTTTCTTTGGTTCAAACAGAGAAAAATAAAATGTATTTCAAACCGTTTCATTTTTTGTCAAGTATAATTATATGACATCTTCCATTCTCCTTTTGGTATAGTTATATACACTTGCTAAGGTAAACATGTTTTCATTGAAGTAATCAACATTAGTACATAACAGAGAAGAAAAAAAATGCAAATTTTGCAGCTTTGCATGAGTATTAACAAAATAACAAACAGTTGTGTCCGTATTCTGGCTAGGACTTCATCCATGCAGAACATAAAGTTAGATGTTTTATTATTACCAATTTCTGCAAGTAATATAAGCTTGTAAAGAAATTGTCATTTTATTTCTTCCTTTTTGTTGTCTCAACACCAAGGATGGTTATCACACTAAGATTAATTCTTTTTTTTTTCTTCTCTGCACTTCACCACAGTATAACTCATCATCAATTCCTGCCATGGTTTGTTCTAACAATGTGCCACATTGTCAATAAACAACACCAGAGAGTGTATCATCCTCATATAGTCAAATTTGGTGCATACTTCATTGTTTTTCCCTGTTCTGATTTATTAGATCTCTGGTGGTTATCAGAAGTAGATTGAACTAAACCAAGCAACTCATCAATGAGATTTATACTGCCACTGAACATGTCACCCCAAAAGAGAATCTACTTCTAGCTAATTTAAGACTGACATGTCTGCTTTGACAGTTTGATTTGTAATTTAATAAACTTTACAACAACAACCAGGGCAGTAGTTAACTACAAAGCAGTTCATATTTAAGTTTTATGCATCAAGAACTTAAAAGCACGGCCCTTCTATCCCCAAAAAAGCACATGCCCACGTTCTGCATCTGCATGCCCATGCGGCATGCTCTCATGCACATGCATGGGCAGACGCAACAAATGCATGCGCACATACAACTATATAACTTATATTCACATGACACTTGAGGCACACTAATGCTTGTCATTAGGACCCATTGCCACTTGAAGTGTAATAGTGTTACTCATTTGAACTGAACTAGCTACTTAGTCTCAGTTTCAGTATTTGATTATTACCAACAGTTTTTTCTTAAGCATCCATTTTTCTTCTTCTATAAGCAACTTTGATTGTCAAGTTCTGCATTCACATGCACACATAGGCGACTAAAACAGACTTTCAAGCACTGAGTTAAACAAGTGTATTAATTGGATATATTCCAGTGGAATTGACATGAAGCTTCAATTTTGTACGAGTTGCTTTCTGTTGTCTTAATGGAAACTAGTATTGCCACTGTATGATTAATGATGATATTGTTGATTCAGATTAACAGAAAGCGGCTAATTCGAAAGATTTTACATGATAATTTGTACATATGTAATTTGTAACTATTATATAGTTTTAATATATCGCAGTAGCAGTCTCTCCTGCTGTTTTCATCGTCAAAAAAAAAAAAAACTGTTTTCTCCGCAATTCCTTTTTTTAACTATTTGGTCTTGCAACTTGTGTTTTTATCAGATTATTTCTGCACGATTGGCAGTCCATTCAATTCAAGGTTGAAATTTTTTACAGAAGAGCTAATGTGTTAATAGTATAAATCAAGTGGATACTTCTAGCATAATAGAGAACTGTCTTGATTTCCTTGCCCAAAAAAAAAGAGGACCGAGTGGTTTTTAATCTATTTCTGATTAAGTCAGTGTATGAAAAAAAAAATCAGCTACCACTTATCTTTCTTTCATGAAGAACCCCCTTTTTCTTAACAAAGCATACTCTCCGTATAGCCATGGAAGTATATATTAATTACATAAAACAGAAAGACTGTATGACATTTTTTTTGTGAATATGTAAAGGTAGCCATTACTATCTTTTTATTAGCCTCATTTTTCTTGAGCAAATGAGAAAAAAGTATAAAATACAAAAAGTCAAATCATGTGGTGAACGATTATGTTCTCAATAGTGCTTTCATTAAAGTGTTTGGGACCATGTATTGTTGGGTAGCATTGCCATACTCCACTGATATGTGGTTGAGAATGGTGATGTGGATGCACATTTAAGGCCGATAGTTTGATGCTGCTTCTTTTTTTCTCCAAGTGGCAGATTTATCACATGTGGATAATAGATATTAGGTTCATCTGTTTGGAATGCATATGTACAGTGAAAGATGTACTATGGCACCGACATCTTATGAAATAATTTAGAGATCACATTGTCTTATGAACATATTGAATATGGTTAAAACTTGTGAATATCAGATTATCAGTTCAGTATAAATTAATTTACTTCTGGAGTTTATCTGTATTGAAATTTATTCCGTAAATTGTATCTGTTAACTGTAGTAGTGCTGCAGAAACTCTGCCTGAGGCAGTCCATATCTTTTCTCCTTTTACTACATTGTAGACTACCGTAGACCATATGATCCTGCCATTCTTAACATGCATGCAATTGAAGCAATTTGGCTATGATACTTACTAGATTGCCCAGTAAATATATGCTAATTTTAGGAAAATAGTTGTTATGCATTAACAGTCCCCCGACTAAATTAGTCTAATCTTTTCGTAATGTTTATTTAATTTATTGTGCAGGAATGAATGTTATAACCAGCATTGCAACTATTCCTACCTATAAACCAGCTGAAAGGATCCGCTTCTTCAATGATTTTGCCCAGTTGATTGGTGATGAAAGAGCTCAAACTGCTCGAGCGTTGTGGGATCGCCCGCTAAAAACTGTTTATATCAGTGATTGCGGAGAGCTAAAAGTGACCAAACCATCACTTTCCCCTCCAAGTCTGCCATAAAAAACCACAGAGGCAATTTTGTGTACCTACACTTATTCTTCTCCCTCCAATGTCAACTGTATATATGCCATCTAGTATTAACTGACATCTGCTGTGTTTCTGGCCCAAAATGTGTACGACGGGTCTCTGATTCATCGAAGTAAATATATTACAGTGCTGTGCAAAATTCTTGACCTGTCAGCTTTCATCTTGGATAACCGTTGAGACTATGATGCTAATGATTAGCTTCTCACAGAATTGACCTACCTGGGCAACATCTTTTGATGTTTTTTCATGTCAGACTGTTCACTGTTTTAGCATTGATGGACGAGAAACTTCTTTTCTCTATCCAAGAACTGTTGTTGTGTCGGGGGCATGTTCTGTCGGTACAGAGGATTAGCAACTATTTGGCCCAGCTTGGACATGGTTATTTGATCGCTAACCTAGCTTGTTTGGTTTATATATAGCATGTGGCTTCCATCAAGGCTGAAACTATCTAGCAGGACACTTGTCGGGTTCAATTTCTGTGCAGACACAAGAGGTTCAAAAGTCAAACTGAAATGCAATCGACTGTAAACATCTCGTGTTAGAGTTTAGAAGACTCGAGACTCTGTAGGGCCTCCCTCACCACGTTTTCAAAGCGATGATACCGTCTACCCGTTTGGCAAAGATGGACTATTCGGATCACGCTTTCCAAGCTTTTTAACGGGACAATGTCTCATAATATTTTTTATCAGCAATTTTAGAAAAGTTTTTGAAACAATTTTTAAACTTTTTGATGTTATTAAATTAACTTGTGTGTGACCTCGAATATCATAAACTTTGAATCATTCCTTATCCAGAAAAAGGGACAACGTGATACACTATAGATGCATAAAACGTTGGATGCATATGAGATTCACACATCGTGGTGTATGACTGCATAAAACATGGATACATATGAGATTCACACGTCGTGGTGTATCTCCTATATATCTACTACCTCCGTTTCGAAATGTTTGACGCCGTTGACTTTTTAGCACATGTTTAACCGTTCGTCTTATTCAAAAAATTTAAGTAGTTATTAATTCTTTTCCTATCATTTGATTCATTGTTAAATATATTTTTATGTAGGCATATAATTTTACATATTTCACAAAAAATTTTAAATAAGACGAACGGTCAAACATGTGCTAAAAAATCAACGGTGTCAAACATTTTAAAACGAAGGGAGTATATCTCTATGCTTACTTGAGAACTAAGTGTTGTACTCCTATATGCACAGGCTCCCAAGGATCAATATAATGTGTTCAATATCTAATCCTCTATTATTCAACAATATTGTTGGTTTGGCATGGCATCAACCCTTGAACACACCATCGAGCCCATACGTACCCATCGTGCGATCTTTATATCAAGCAGACACGTGGCCTTTCTTTTTAATTACATGGAAAACCCAAACACCCGCACCATAAGAATGTCCACTTTGTATGTGCTCAGCTGGGATAATTGATCGCTAAGGTTGAGGGGATCTGAAGGTGATTTTTTTCGAGGGTTAAGGTAATTTATTTCGCACTTATTAAGATGTAGAATTAATTCCCTCAATTCCCTCTCTCTTGGAGAGACTAACTGAACAAGGCTTGAAAAAAAATCCAAATATCCTACCAAGATGTATACACATAAAGTATATAAGGACACACTAGATTTTCAACCCTCCAAGTGTTATAGGTAACTATTGTTATCCCTAAAAGGCTGGACCCGTGTAATGATCACAGCGAAAAAGGCAGAAACACAATTGTTGCAATATTATTATTAGTCCTACATTACATATATCCCCCGTGAAGTTTGTGATCTTGCCATGATGATGGCATGGCATAGACGGCTCGTCCTTTGTGGGCTCGGAGCCCTTTTTCCCCTCGCTTGCCCCGTGGCTGGGGAGATCCATCCAATGCCTTCCACACGGCGAAAGAAATTAGGACCGTGTGACATGACTCCGTCTCGGTCGGTCGACGTGAATCAAGGGAGGAAAATTAATGGATGGATAGTGCATTACAGTGATTGATGATTGATGAGTGATCAATGGAGTGGAGTACATTCGTGTGGTATTTGGAATTGGATTAGTGAGTCAGCTGATCGGTTTGGGCTGCGCTAGGAGAGCCAGGCTGGGCCAGACCAGGCATGGTTAGGGCTAAGCTGGGCTCTGGATTTTTTATATTTTAATTTAGATCTTTTTGAAAACTTAATTTACAAATAGACACTTAAAAACTTATTCTAGCAATGGTCTCTTTTCGTGGCGCCAACATCATTGATTTTGTGGTCCAACATGATGGCGCAAATGATATTGGCGTTTGTCGGAGTACGGAACTCCTCTAGTGAGAAAGCTAAGTACTCCCTCTTTGTGAGTTCGGCCGGGCTGCCAATTCTAAGTTCGGGTTTTAATTACGCGAATAGAGTGAACACAATCGGATATACAAATTCGGCCCACACGGATGCGTAGCACTTTACTCCTGTGTGATGGACTATGCATGGATGGTGAGGTGAACTACAAAGTGATGTAGAAAGTTCTAAGTGAGAAGGAGAGGTTGCTTGCTCACTGAATGTTCAGCTAACCTAGCTTAGATGAAAGTGTGAACCTTTTCTCGGTGGCATGAATTCTCCTTATACGTGAAGGGGAGTCCACAATGCCATTGCATGCATGTAGGAGTGAGGTCTACTCTTCTGAATTTGATATGTTTAGTATTATTGTTGTACCTCCAAGCTAGTCGGCCAGATGTGATAGCCACATATACCGAATGACAAGTAGAGATGGGAGGTAAAAGTCTTCATTAAAACTGTCCCCGAGCCTACCTATTAGCCACTGTATCCAATAGAGGTGACCCCTAGGGAATGTTGCTGAAGATGAGCCACATCGCACGTCTCGTGTTCTCCAACGTGATGTGGGCATGCAAGGGGCTGCATGTGCGGCCACGTACAAGTTGTGGATGAGTTGTACATTAAGTTTGAACCACCCTATAATAAACGTAAAGTGGTGGTTAAAAGTAATCACCGGATCCGATCTGCTCTCCTTAAACCTTTAGGGCACTAATTAATCAGTGCTCAGGTCCCCAAGGGATTGAAAACTTGTGTTCGACTAGCCACCGTGCTTGGGTCACCTCGAATCCTCAGGGCACCCCCGCCATAGTTATTAAGACCGAACCATACCGACGGTTGGACCTGTAAAAACCAAAACCAGAGCCTATACCAGTCCGGTCTAGTTAAAAGACTGGATATGCAATCGAACCGATTGGAGCGTCCTGTTTTGAGGAAAAACTGCTATAAAACCAGGGAAAACTGTAGTTGAACCAGCCTTGTGGCAGCTATGCGCGAGAAGACATGCATGCAGGGGAGCAGGTAGGGGAAAACGAGACTAGGATGGGATTCGAACACAAGATCACATGTGAGAGAGGAAGCTGATCACGAACCACCAGGCTATCATGCACCTCGTGATGTCAAGGAATGAGTAATATATTTAATACCTATTGAACTAGGTTGGACCAATGGTTCAACCGGTTGAACCAGTGAACCATCGAACCAAGAGCCTTGTCGGCTCAATTACTAGTCCGGTCTCAATAACTATAACCCCTGCCCACTCGAGCGCGCTCATATTGCCAAAGATAGATTTTATTGTTGTTTTGGATGAGCTTCTCGAAGATGTTGATGAAGAAGGAGTTCATGGTGGGCATAGCTTTAGACAAGACACCGGTATCCGTCAGTGTCTGCTTTAGCACCTTGAAGATGATCTTGTAAGTCTCGACACTCTTCCTAACACCTTGAAGATATAGATCTTGTTGATCTTGATACTCTTATTGACACCTGGAAGATGTAGATTCAGTAGATCTCGACACTCCTTTTGAAACCTTGAAGAGGCAGACGTTGTAGGTCTCGGTGGGGTCCACCATGCCCCGACCATCCACGGGAAGGGGAACTTAGCTTTTCTAAATTCTTAGAAGCTGACTACCAACCCACAGCTTCTCAAAATCTTAAGCTTCGGAAACATACCCATAGGTTTTGCAAGGAAGCTAGGGGATGGCATCACTGTCATTGCGCCGTTATATTGGACCATGACGCTAATGATGTTGATGCCATAAAAATGATCCATTCTCATAATAAGTTATGATGGATCTATTTGTAAAATAAAATTTTAAAAAGATCAAAAGTGAAAAATCTAGAAGCTGGACTTTGGTTCAGAATGTTTTGAAGTAGGAGACAGTGGTTCGTGCTAGTTTAGGAGGGTTGTGGTAGGGCCGTAGGGTACTGAAATTAGGCGAGACTAGCAAAGCCATAACTGTTGTGTCCACTACAATGATATCAGACAACACTATTTAATTATTTTACTCTTTCTTTTCTTTTTTACGCTCTTGGAACTATTTAGCATATCCAGAAAACATGACAAGAAGAAACATGAAACTTCTGTTGTGGCCTAAATGATCTGACTAGTGACGTCTCATGCCTACCACTAGGTTGGGAAGTTCAGTAATTAAACTACCTATATACTCTCCCCGTTCTATAAAAACAAAAATAATATATACGTGATATGGCATATACTAGTACTATATGAATCTGAATAGCTTATTTAAATTTATAGTACTAGAATATATCATATCTTGTACAATATTTATTTTTATAGGATCGAGAAAGTAGACTCATATTACAAGTGGTACGGAGAAGAGAGCTTGGGCCACCAGGACGACGATATGATGCGGCTATTGCCACAAAAAGCCAACGCGGACAAGAAGCTTGAGCCAGAATGGCAAGCTAATCCGAGGAAAATGATGCTAAGCTGGTAATGATGAGGCGCAAGTAAGGATTCCAAAGATTTTTTTTTTGGCTGTCTATATATCATGTGACAGAAAATCCCACCTCCTATCATTCGAATTTTGGACCATTAGATATGCTTTAAGATTCGTGTAGCCCCTTAACCCTAACTCCTTCTCCTCCTCCCCCGGTTCCAGATCACGCCGCCACCCTCCTCCTCCTGTCCCACGTGCGATCCGCCGCCACCACCACCGCCACTGCCCCACCGCGCCGCCGCCCGCCTCGCCGGCTGGCCGGAAAAGGTCAACAGCGCCGGCGAGGCCCCCTCCCGGCGAGCCCCCTCCCCCTCCCCCTTCCCCCCTCACTTTCTCCTCATGGCGGCGACGACGAGGTGCCCCCGCCCCGCCGTCTTCCCCGTCTCCGGCGGCTCCCCGCCGCCGGATCCGCCACCACCGGCCGCCGCCTCCTAATCCCACGCTT